AACCCAAGGGTCAGAGCAATGTAAAGTTGACTGATGAAAAAGCTAACCAAAAGGAGAGGCAAAAGTAATGTGCATCTGTCAGGTGGTGGGCAATGGAATTTCCTTGGCACTTTTTAAAGTACACAAATAAAATATAGCCAGGGGCCAGGTGTGCTTTTTAAACATTCCTGAGAAAATGTCCATAAACTGAATTTATAAAAACCCAATTTTAATGCAGAAATGTAGAAAAGATACCTATGTAATCAAGCCCTGTAGGAAAAGCTAAAAATCCTTTTTATTCATGTGGTTTATAAGCCTAAGCATTTGCTAATTTCCTTGAAGTAGATTATTCTACTAGTTCACATGACATATTTAAGAAGACAAACTTGTGACGATTTTTAAAATCCAGAATAGAAATAGGCTAACTTTGTGGGTTTTTTTTTCTGTTCACATTTTCTACAAGGAACATAATGCTTAGTGAATTAGGAAAGGTAAAAGGAAGATGATATCATGTAAGATTTTCTTCAAAAAGGGATGTAGCCTGATTTCCTATAGTTTGATTGTTTCCTATTGCTTTGTATCTTTGAATATCGTGGAATGTTGTGGTCACATTTTATGCAAGGGTTCTACAACGTTGTAAATTAAACTCATAAGTCTAAAATTCCAATAAATGTAATTATCTTGAATATTCCTTAAAGTACTCACAAAATAAACTATATATGGATTTGTTTATATAAATCTATTGTATAATATGAATATATTATATAGATTAAGGTACAGTCCATGATGAAATACATTAATATATGCAAAGTGTTGTCTCATGGTACTATTTAAGTTATTAGTCTGTGTTTTATTATTATGAATGGGTATAATTTAATTCAAGTAAGTTAATTCACACACAATGGAATTCCATGGAATTCACACAAGATAGAATAAGCACTGGACTTGAATTGAAAGTCCTGGTCTTTTGTGACCTTGGACAAATCATTTGACCTTTCCATGCCTTGCCTTTGTTGCCTGTAAGATGAGGTTTACACTTCTTACTTCATAAGTACTATTAAAGATCAAATGAAATAATGTAAACCTATCAGGAGGCCTTTACTAGATTGTGAGTGTTGGAAGGACAGGTACCCCATGTCAGTCTTATTGCTATTGACTTTTCGTGAACTTCTACTGGAAGTCACATTGGAAGACCAAATCACTGAGGTAGTTCAGTCCTCTGTTTCCTGCCCAGGGTCAGACACTGTTAGATAGACCTCTGCACAGAGTGGCGTCAACATATCTGAAGTAATGAAGGCAAACTAGGCTTTTTTCTTGAACTTCAGCCTATGCAGAAAAGCTAGAGCTCTGAGTGTTTAAGTGCAATAAGCCCATACAGAAATCCAGTGTAAACACTAGAAATTTCCCTCATTAGGCAGTGAGCAATGGGTTTTATTGGGAAAGGATTTGTCATGTTGAAAATTTTCCAATTCTAAGGCCATTGTTTGCTTTGACTGACTATTAAAAATATGTCTGTTCATCAAACTTTCACCTTTTTTCCAATATGACATCTTAAAGAGAGGATTATTTTAATTACAGTAGCACCTAATTTGATTAATGACAGGGAAAGGAGTAAAAATGAAAAATGAGCAAGAAAATCTAGCCATAACAGCTGAGGTGGCTGTGTCAACCAATTACAGTTTTATTCCCTTCTCCACAAAATGAGACTTTAAACATTTTTGGCTATAGTGCTCACTTAATGTTGATCCATCAGAAAATAAATTGAGATGGAATCATAAAAAACTCTACTGTGCATGCGTGTGTGTGTGTGTGTGTGTGTGTGTGTTTACTTTTTATTTCAAAATAATTATAGAGTCAGAGGAAGTTGCAAAGAAATGTATAGGGAGGTCGTTTGGACCCATCACTCAGCCTTCCCCATTGTTAACATTTTGCATTTTACATAACTATACTACAATACCAAACCCAGCAAATTGACATTGGTATAATCCACAGTTTATTCAGATATCACCAGTTATATATGCATTAATTTCTGTGTGTATGTATAATTCTATGCAATTGTATCATGTATGTAGCTGCCACTACCCCATATAACTACCACCACAATCAAGATACTTAACTGTACCATCACCACAAGGCTCCCTTATGCTACCCTGTTGCAACTATACCTGCCCTTCCCTCCTACTCAACCCCCCATCCCTCACCTCTGACAACCACTGATTTGTTCTCGTTTTCTATAGTTATGTTATTTCACAAATGTTATATAAATGGATATAAGTGGAATTATGCTGTAGCTATCCTTTTGAATTTAGCTCTTCTTCTTTTCCTTTGTTTTTTTTGTTTTTTTTCCTTTGTTTTTTTTGTTTTTTGTTTTTTGTTGTTTTTTTTAGAGCCAGGGTCTCACTCTATCACCCAGTCTGGAGTGCAGTGGCAGTCATAGCTCACTGCAGCCCTGAACTCCTGGTCTCAAGTGATCCTCCTGCCTCTGACTAGCTGGGATTACAGGCACAAGCCACTGTGCCCAGATTAGTTTTTTCACTCAGCATATTTCCTTGAGGTTCATCCAAGCTGTTACGTGTCTCATTAGTTTATTCCTTTTTTATTACTGAGTAGAATTCCGTGGTATGGATATACTATAGTTTGTTTAACCATTTACCACTGCAGGACATTTGGGCACTTTCCACAATTTGGCTATTACAAACAAAGCTGATGTGAACATTCACGTACAAGTTTCTACATGAAAATAAGCTTTCATTTCTCTATATGAATGCCCAAGACAATACAATTGCTGGGTTGTATGGTAAGTTCATTTTTAGTTTAAAACTATTCCTCAGAGAGGCCATGCCATTTTACATTCCTTCCAGCAGTATATGAGTAATTCAGTTTCTCTACTTCCTCACTAGCATTTAGTGTTAACATTATTTTTTTATTTTTGCCAATCTGATAGGTATATAGTGATATCACGTTGTGGTTTTAATTCACATTTCTTTTCTAATGGCCAATTATGTTGAATATTTTTCATGTGCTTATGTGCCATCTCTATGTCCTCTTTGGTGAAGTGTCTGTGCATGTCTTTTGCCCACCTTCTAACTGGATTATTTGATTTTTAATGTTGAGTTTTGAGAGTTTTTAGTTTCAGTGATTTATGCTCTGGTCTATAACATTTCCTTCCTTCTGTTTGCTGTGGGTTTATTTTGCTCTTTTTTTTTTTTTTTTAAGTTTCTTGAACATCTTAATTATTGATTTGAGATCTTTCCTCTTTTCCATTATAAGCAATTAGTGCTATAAGTTTACTTCTCAGTACTGCTTTATCTGTATCCCATAGACTTTGATGTTTTCATTCAGTTCTATATATTTTTAAATTTTTCTTTGAGATTTCTTTGAGCCATGAATTATTATGCATTATTGTTTAATTTCCAAGTGTTTGGAGATTTTGTTATTGATTGCTTTCTAGTTTCATTCCATTATGGTCAGAGAATATATATGACTTCAATTCTTTTAAATTTGTTAATATTAGTTTTGTGAACAAGAGTCTATTGGGGTGAATGTTCCATGGGTACTTGAAAAGCATGTGCATTTTGCTGTTGGGTAGAGTGTTTTATAAGTGCCAGTTTGATCTTGTTTGTTGATGATATTATTCAGTCCTTTCAGTTTCTTACTGATTTTCTGTCTAGTTGTTCTATCAATTGCTGAAAGTAGGATGTTGAAGTGACCAACTACAATTGTAGATTTGCCCATTTTTCCTTTCCGCTTTATTGGTTTCTGCTTCATGTACTTTTCACTTCTGTTGTCTGGAGCACACCCATTTAGAATGGCTGTATCTTTTTGTCAGAGTAATCTGCTTTGTAGCTTGTACTTTTCTTTGCTGTGAAGTCTACTTCATCTGATAATAATTTAATTACTCCTGTGTTTTTGGATTAATGTTTATATAATATGTTTTTTTCCATCCTTTTACTTTCAACCTACCTATTTGTTATGTTTGAAATAAATTTCTTGTTAGCAGTTTCTTCTATAATTAGGTTGGATTTTGGTTTTTAATTGGTACATATACACCATTTACATTTAATGGAATTATTGTTATGTTATGGCTTAAATTTGCCATTATATTATTTGTTTTATCTTTGTTTCTCTGTCATTCTTCTGTTTCTCTTTTCTTGCTTTCCATTTTGATTATTAGTTTTTAGTATATCACATTTTATAGTTTTCATTGTGGTTTCTCAGTGCCTGGGGTCCCCTATCTCCGGGCCGCAGCCTGGTACTGGTCTATGGCCGGTCAGGAAACGGGCTGTGCATCACTGTCTAAGCTCCACACTCTCCCCCTTACCCTCAACACCCTCCCACCCCCGGTCTGTAGAAAAATTGTCTTCCATGAAACCGGTCCCTGGTGCTCAAAAGGTTGGGGACTGCTGCTCTATGCAATATCATATACATATGTAACGTATCACAGTCTACTGTTGTTAATATTTTAACCTTTCATGTGAAGTGCAGACCCCTTACATTTAGATCCATTTACCCTCCCCATTTAAAAAATACATTTGTCTTATATATTTCCTCTAGATATATTGCATATCACATTAGGTAGTCTTACAACTTTTGATTCACCCATAAAATATAAGTTAACCCATGAGGTGAAAGAACAGTCTATTATGTGTTCTTCTATTTTTACCCATGCTATTCTTCCTTCCCTTCTGAATGTCCTAACCTTCTTCCGTTATAATTTTGTTGCAAGAGCTTCCTTTAGCCATTCATTAAGGGTAGATATGCTAGCAACAAATCCTCTTAATATTCCTTCATCTGAGAATGTCTTTATTTCCCCTTTATTCCTGAAAGATAGTTTCACTATATGTATAGGATTTAGAGCTGACATTTCTTTGAGCACTTGAAAAATACTGTGTGTGCCATGTCTTTTTGGCCTCCATGGTTTCAGATAGGGAAATTATTGTCTTTCAAACTGATATTTCTTTATGGGTACTGTGTCATTTCTCTGTTTATTCAAGATTTTTTTCTTTGACTTTTGTTTTCAGAAGGTTAATCTTGGGGTGTATTGCAACTAGAATGTGGCAGAGTCCAGATCTGGCAGCCAACAACTGTGGTCATGGGCACCAGCAAAAATCCTGATGGGGGAGGAGGCCTATGAGCAAATAAGGGAGAGACTGAAGAATGAAGTCACTCAGATGAAGGAGCAAGTACCTGGTTTCACACGAGGCCTGGCAATTTTACAGGCTGGCGACAGACATGATTCCAATCTTTATATAAATGTGAAGCTGAAGGCTGCTGAAGAGGTTGGGATCAAAGCCACTCACATTAAATTACCAAGAACAGCCACAGAATCTGAGGTGTTAAAGTACATTAGATCTTTGAATGAAGACTCTACCGTACATGGATTCATACTGCAGCTACCTTTAGATTCAGAAAATGCTATTAACATTGAAGCAGTGATCAATGCTATCACACCCGAAAAGGATGTGGATGGATTGACTAGTATCAGTGCTAGGAAACTCACTAGAGGTGATCTAAATGACTGTTTTGTCCCTTGTACGCCTAAAGGATGCTTGGAACTCATCAAAGAGACAGGGGTGGAGATCGCCGGAAAGTACGCCATGGTGGTCGGGTGCAGTAAAATAGTAGGAGCCCCAATGTATGACTTGCTTCTGTGGAACAATGCCACAGTGACCACCTGCCACTCTAAGTCTGCCAGTCTGGGTGAGGAGGTAAATAAGGTGACATCCTGGTGGTTGCAACTGGTCAGCCTGAAATGGTGAAAGGAGAGTGGATCAAACCTGGGGCAATAGTCATTGACTATGGGATCAATTATGTCCCAGATGATACAAAATCAAATGGGAGAAGGATTGTGGGTGATGTGGCATACAATGAGGCCAAAGAGCGGGCGGGATTCATCACTCCTGTTCTCGGTGGCGTCGGGCCCATGACGGTGGCAATGCTGATGCAGAGCACGGTAGAGAGTGCAAGGGGTTTCCTGGAGAAATACAAGCCAGGAAATGGAGTATTCAGTATAACAACCTTAACCTGAAGACACCTGTTCCAAGTGACATTGCTATATCACGATCTTACAAACCAAAGCCCATTGGTACACTGGCTCGAGAATTTGGCCTGTTCTCTGAAGAGGTGGAATTGTATGGTGAGACAAAGGCCAAAGTCCTGCTGTCAGCACCAGAACGCCTGAAACACCAGCCTGACGGGAAATACGCGGCGGTGACTGGAATAACTCCAACGCCCCTGGGAGAAGGGAAAAGTACAACCACAGTCGGGCTGGTGCAAGCCCTGGGTGCCCATCTTTTCCAGAACGTCTTTGCGTGTGTGCAACAGCCTTCCCAGGGCCCCACCTTTGGAATAAAAGGTGGTGCTGCAGGAGGTGGCTACCCCCAGGTCATTCCTATGGAAGAGTTTAATCTCCACCTCACTGGTGACATCCATGCCATCACTGCAGCTAATAACCTGGTTGCTGCGGCCATTGATGCCCGCATATTCCATGAACTGACCCAGACAGACAAGGCTCTCTGTAATCGTTTGATGCCCTCAGTAAATGGAGTGAGAAAGTTTTCTGATATCCAAATCCGAAGGTTAAGGAGACTAGGCATTGAAAAGACTGACCCTACCACACTGACAGACGAAGAGATAAACAGATTTGCAAGATTGGATAGTGATCCAGAAACCATAACTTGGCAAAGAGTGTTGGATACCAATGATAGATTCCTGTGGAAGATCACAATTGGACAGGCTCCAATGGAGAAAGGGCACACACGGACGACCCAGTTTGATATCTCAGTGGCCAGTGAAATCATGGCTGTCCTGGGCCTCACCAGTTCTCTGGAAGACATGAGAGAGGGACTGGGCAAAATGGTGGTGGCCTCCAGCAAAACAGGGGAGCCCATCAGTGCGGAAGACCTGGGGGTGAGTGGCGCGTTGACAGTGCTTATGAAGGACGCGATCAAGCCTAACCTCATGCAGACGTCAGAGGGCACTCGGGTGTTCGTCCACGCCGGCCCGCTCGCCAACATCGCACGTGGGAATTTGTCTATCATCGCAGACCGGGTCGCACTCAAGCTTGTCGGCCCAGAAGGGTTTGTGGTGACCGAAGCTGGATTGGGAGCAGACATTGGAATGGAAACGTTTTTTAACATCAAATGCCGGTACTCTGGCCTCCGCCCTCAGGTGGTGGTGCTCGTTGCTACTGTCAGGGCTCTTAAAATGCAGGGGGCAGCCCCACGGTCACCGCTGGACTGCCTCTTCCCAAGGCTTACACAGAGGAGAACCTGGAGCTGGTTGAAAAAGGTTTCAGTAACTTGAAGAAACAAATTGAAAATGCAAGAATGTTTGGAGTTCCGGTTGTAGTGGCTGTGAATGCGTTCAAGACAGATACAGAGGCTGAGCTGGACCTCATCACCCGCCTTGCCCGAGACCATGGAGCTTTTGATGCTGTGAAGTGCACTCACTGGGCAGAAGGGGGCAAGGGTGCCTTCGCCCTGGCGCAGGCTCTCCAGAGAGCCGCACAGGCACCCAGCAGCTTCCGACTCCTTTATGACCTCCAGCTCCCAGTTGAGGGTAAAATCAGGATCATTGCGCAGAAGATCTACGGGGCAGATGACATTGAATTGCTCCCTGAAGCTCAGCACGGAGCCGAAGTCTACACGAAGCAGGGCTTTGGGAATCTACCCATCTGCAGGGCCAAGACACACTCGTCTTTGTCTCACAACCCAGAGCAAAAAGGCGTGCCTACAGGCTTTGTTCTGCATATTCGCGACATCCGTGCCAGCGTTGGGGCTGGTTTTCTGTACCCCTTAGTAGGAACGATGAGCACAATGCCTGGACTCCTTGCCCGGCCCTGCTTTTATGATACTGATTTGGACCCTGAAACTGAACAGGTGAATGGACTGTTCTAAACAGATCAATCTGTCTTCAAGGAGCTACTTTGAAAGTTTGGCCAGTATCTCTTCAGGCCCACTGGGAGTTAGTCAAGAGAAGTCAGCCCCTTCCCTGAAGATCTTCTGAAATATATAGTGAGAGTTTCTCCAGAAGACTTAATTCTCATCATCATGTATAAATTAACATAAATCATGTACATTTCTGTTCACTTTAGTGAAGATCCACAGAATAAAAGGAAATAATTTTGCTAAAAAAATTATTAATTATTAAAAAAGAAGGTTAATCTTGATATATCTTGGCATGAGTTTCTTCGGATTTATCCTTTTTAGAATTTATCCAGCTAAATTTGGGGGGGTTTCAGTTATTATTTCTTTTCTTTTCTTCTCTTTTCTTTTCTGGGTCTTACTTTGTTGCCCAGGCTGGAATGCAATGGTGCAATCATAGCTTACCACACCTCAGCCTCAAACTCCTGGGCTCAAGCAATCCTCCCACCTCAGTCTAGTGAGTAGCTGGGATTACAGACACATGCCCCCATGCTCAGATGATTTTTGTTACTTTTTGTAGAGATGGGGTCTCACTATGTTACTTGGGGCAGTCTTAAATTCATGGCCTTAAGCGATCCTACTGCCTAGGCCTCCCAAAGTGCTGGGATTGCAGGTGTGAGCCACTGTATCCAACCTTCCAGTCATTATTTCTATGAATATCTCTTCAAACCTATGCTCTTCTTCCTCTCTTTTTGATACTTTCATGATATGAATTTAGATCTTTCATTATTTTCCCAGAAAGCCCTGAAACAGTGTTCATTTTTTTCTGGTCTATTTTTTCATTGTTATTCAAATTGAGTAAATTTTACTGATCTGCCTTCAAGTTCACTGATTCTATCCTATTATCTCCACTGTGCTATCAAGTCCATTCAATGAGTTTTATTTATAAGTTAGAGAACTTTACAGTTTTCAGCTCTATAATTTCCATTTGTTTGAGGTTTTTTCCAATTTCAATTTCTTTGCTGAGATTTTCTATTTTTTGTTTATTTCAAAAGAATTTATAATTGATTATTGAAGCATTTTAGAATAGCAGTTGGTTTAAAGTCCTTGCAAGGTAAGACCAACATCTTATTCTTCTTGGAATTGGACCCACTGAAGGCAAAATACTGATTCCAACCTCAAAATTTTTGAGGACAGTGGTAAACTGCATTGAACTAAAAATGCAACAAAACCAACCCACAGTTTGACAATAGGTTATACTGACTCAGCCTGACAAGGGAAGGGGGGGTTACACCCTTTCCTGGGATAAATATTATCTACTTAGTTTCTACTTTTATTCATACAGTTGGATATACGGTAATAAATAAAACTGAAAGAAAGGAAGAAAAAGTAGGAATATGTGATGTAAAGTCAAGAGAAAAATCAGTAACTGGAAACAGACCACAGATAATCCAGATGCTGAGATTATCAGACAAAGACTGTAAAATAACTGAGATAACTATATTAGAGGATCTAATAAAAAGGTGGACAACATGCAAGAATAGATGGGGAATATCAAGGAGGAAAGAAAACTATAAGAAAGAACTAGATGGAGAGTCCAAAAATGAAAAATGTCATAAATGACAAATCTATATGATAGTATAAAGAACCAACTAGACATAGCATAAGAAAGTGGCAATGAAATTGAAAACAGGTCAATAGAACTTATCTGAAATTAACTAAAGCATAAAGAGAAAAAATGAAAACACTGAACAGAGTATCTGAGAACTGTAGAACATTATTGAATTGTCTGACATATGTGCAGTTGGATACCCAGAAAGAGAAGAGGGAGAGAGAGAATGCAGAAAAGAAATATTTGAAGAGATAACAGCCAAGAATTTTACAAAATTTATCAGTGAAATTGACCCAAAGACCTAAGATGCTCAGCAAATCCAAGCAGGATAATAAACTACAAACAAAACTACACTAGAGTATGTTATATCAAAATGCTGATTATCATAGATAGATAGAAAATCTAAAATGCAGCCAGATTAAAAAGACAGATTACATTCAGGGGAACATTAAAAGTGATGGTGGACTTCTCCTTAGAAACAATGGAAACCAAATACAGGGTGGTATTGGCATAGGATGACAAATAGATCAATGGAGCAGAATATGGAATCTAGAAATTGACCTATACACATGTGCTCAATTGTTTTTACACAAAAATGCCAAGGGAATTGAATGGAGGAAAATGGGGTTGAAAAAACTAGATATCCCTATGGTAACAAATTGAATCTTGATGTCTACCTCACTCTCTAAACAAAAATTAATTTGAGATGGATTTGTAGGTCTAGATATGAAAACTAAAACTTCAGCTCTTCTAGAAGAAAATATAAAATATTTTCATGACTTTGGAGTACATATAGGTTTTTTTTGACATCAAAAGCACTAAACATAAATGACAAAATTGTTAAATTTAAAAGTTCTGTTTAGGAGTTTTTGAAAATGAATAGGCTAGCCATAGACTGAGACATAATATTCACATTAAATGTAAATGACAAAGGGTTTCTATTCAAAATAGATAAAGAAAACAAATAACCCAATTTTTACTATTTTACCCAATAGTAAAATTGAGTAGTCTCTTCAAAAAAAGAAAGAAAGAAAAATATTTATAAATAATACATTTGACAGGTTATACAAAATCATCATTCATCAGGAAAATGCAAATTCACACCACTCTGACATACTATATATACCCACAAAAATGGCTGATGGGAGAGTAAGAATGGCTAAAATGAAATATTTTTAATATTTTACCAAATGTTAGACAGTATGTTGAGTATCTGAAATTCTTCTCCATTGCTGGTAGAAGTGTAAAATGGTATAGCTGCTTTGGAACACTTTTTAGCAGTGTTTTACAAAGTTAAACATATATCTAATGGATGAAAAAATCACAATTTAAGTATCTGCTTTATCCAGGAAACATATCTAACCCACAAGGACTTATACAGACTCAAGGTGAAGGAATGGGAAAAATTTTTCCATGTAAATGGAAAGCAAAAGAAAGCAGGTGTGGCCATTCTCGTATCAGATAAAAATGACTTTAAATTGACAATGGTAAAGAAAGACAAAGATGGTCATTATATAATGGTAAAAGGAGCAAATCAACAAGAAGACATAACAATCCTAAATATTTATGTATCTAACACAGGAGCACCCGGATTCATAAAGCAAATTCTACTAGATCTGAGCAAAGAGATAATGACAACAACATAATTGCTGTGGACTTCAACACCTCACTGATAGAGCTGGACAGATCATTCAAGCAGAAAATAAATAAACACTGGACTTAAATGGGACTTTAGAACAAATGGCCTAACGACATTTACAGAACATTTCACCCAAAACTACTGAGTACACATTCTTCTCATCAGCACATAGAACATTTTCCAAGATTGATCATATCTTAGGCCACAAAACATGTATCAACAAATTCAAAAAAATGTAAATCATACTATGTATCTTGTCAGACAGTGGAATAAAACTAAAAATCAATTCCAAGAGAAACACTCAATTCTACACAAAGTCATGCAAATGAAACAACCTACTGCTGAATGATTATTGGGCCAATAATGAAATTAAGATGAAAAACAAAAGAGTCCTTGAACTGAATGACAAAGGGGACACAAGCTGTCAAAAATCTATGGGATTGGCTGACGCCATGGCACTCTAGCCTAGGCTCCAGAGTGAGACTCTGGTTCAAAAACAAAAACAAAAACAAAAAAATCTATGAGATTCAGCAAAAGCAGTTCTAAGGGGAAAAGTCATAGTCTTATATGACTACATGACAAAGATAGATTACAAATTAACAATCTAATGACATATCTCAAAGATCTAGAAAAGGAACAGCAAGCCAAACCCAAAGCCAGCAGAAGAAAAGAA